TTTTTTTTTATTTTTTTTTAAGTCTGTGTATGCTTTCTTAGTCCATCTTTAATTATTTTGGTATGAAACCCGACTATCACATTTTGCTCATATGAAGGCCGTAATTTTTCTTGTCCAGGGCCTCAATCTGGCCCTATGAACAAATCATGGAAATCCTCCTTGGAAGATTTGGGTGGCTCACTGAAGGTAGGTGAACGTGTTCTATTTTGTAGTACGGCATGTGGTATTATCTGAATCATATCAAATAATGATTGTTGCGTGGCATAGTAAATTTATAACAACTAACAACCATGACAATAGTTTCAATTTATGAAGCTTTAAATACAAACTTATTTGTTCAGTAAAATTTACCACAAGTTTCCAATATATATCAGTTACCATGATTTGATATACTCCATGTTGTGGACAGGCTTACCTTCCAAAGAAATTTTGTCTCTAGTATTATTGTTTGCTACTGGATGGATTAAAATGAGATTTATCATACTTGGTTAACTTTTAGAAGCTATTGGTTCGTCGTATGAATTTACAGGATATACCTTGGAAGGAATTTTTCAAATCTAAAGCTGTGTGGGCAATGATATATACTCACTTTTGTGGAAGTTGGGGTCATTACACCTGCTTATCCTGGCTTCCTACATATTTCAGGTGCACTTTTTTACTTATCAAATCTTTGTTTCTTGCTGGACACTGGACAGAGCTATATGGTATTTCCACTGGAAATATGTAGTTTAACCACTGGGAAGGGTTTTGTATAACATGGATTATGTTAGATCATGTCCCATATTTTTTAATGTCACTATTGATATGTGGACTACAACCAAATGGAAATAAAAGATGTAAAAAATGTGAAGGTGTATTAAACTAAGTGAAAAAAGCGATGCTTTTACCTGTGAACTTGCATCTGCAAAGTGGGAGAAATAATATGCATATTTAGACTTGAACTTTCAATATCATTCCCTTTATACGTAAGAATATCAACAGCGCTTAAGATTTTCTGTGCTAAATCATTTTATGGGAAAACTATAGAACTGATGTGTTTCTGTACTATTCAATTGTTTACATGGAAGTTTTGATTAATATACATTCTAGAATAATGAAGTTTGCTATCCTATTGATATAATGTTTCAACTTACTTTCATAAATTTGACATTCTCAGAGTGAAATTTGATTTCATGTATAGTAGATATTGTCCTCTAATAGTTGTGTTTAACATTGATTATATATGAAATACTAGTAACAACAACAATAACATACCCAGTATATGAAATACTAGTAAGTCGAGAAAAAAGAGTTTTGGCAAGTGCATGTCTAAAACGTGAATTGTAGGTTTTTAGATGGATAGGAAAATGTAAAATAATGATGTTTGTCTATTACTAGGGTAACCAAATGCTTTTTGTTGTTTAAAATGGATGCTCCTCCAAGGTTTATTTGTCAGTCGTCATGTATTCATCTCCTTATATATATATAGTTATTCATCAAGGAATTTTTTTTCCCTTGGTCCAAGTTTCTATATAACGAGATTTAAAATTGAGAACATCTTTGCAGTGAGGAGTTGGATCTTGACTTCACTGAAGCTGCATGGGTACGTTTATGAATATTTTTGGCTACCAATTTATTGTAGAATTTGATATTTTTCCAATTCATACGTCAATGACCTTTCAGGTGACTCTTTTCATTTAGATTGTCTCGGAAGTAATTTTATGATACCGTCGTGAAATTTCATAACTAACGGTGAAATTTGTTGCTTGCAAAATGATGGTATTAATTTTGAAAAATGTCTTATCTATGCTATACTCTGGGCTGATTGTGTATTAATATTTGTGATTAAGTTATATCTATAGGATAGATTAAAATTAAGTATTCCATTACTAAGTATGGCTATTGTAAAGACGTATCAAGAAGCGACATTATTCTTCCACTAATCGTTTGCTTTGATATTCTTCACCTATAAAGTTAACAAATTGAAATATTGTGTGAATCTAGGCTACTGATATTATCATTAACTGACTGTTTATTTTTTTGCTTAAGGGTAAATTGATTTGGATCATGTGAAAGACTGATAATGAGTGGTATAGTTAAAAGAGAAATACAAAGAGTTGCTTACCAACTAGCATGGATTTTTCTTTGTTAACAATTAGAAAGGTATCTAATAATCTTGTAATATCAAATTTCCCAAGAAATTTTCGCGGCCAAAAAATTTAAGTTACTCTTTCTTATCTATTTTAGAGAAGCTGTACAACAACCAAGAATTTTCACGTACGTGAAAATCTAAGATTTTCTCAGAACTTCCCCTACTCCTACTGCTTTGGATAATGGCCCAGATGAATTTTTTTTTTTTTTTTT